ACTGTACGATGTACGATGAACGGATACGACTCACGGATCCCCGGAATCCTCACAAAGAGGATCCAGCGAGGATCCGTACTCCAGTAATAAAGCCAATGAATTAAGTTTAAAGTTGTAAAACAGAAAAGCAAAAAAATGTTTGCAGGTTTACATGTGTGCTTATATAATATTTTTACATTATTTGCAAATCAAATTAATTATTAATAGAACATTATTCATCGATTAAAACTTCAAAAATATACCATTCTAACTCTTTCATCAAAACTGAGATAAAATAAAAATTATGGGCAAAAGTCTTCTCAGAATTGATACCAAGAGTGAGTCTGAATTTCCCTCAATGGTGGTATTTCCATCAAGAAGAAGTTTGAGCCCTTCTTTATCTAATAAGGTAATGAACAACGTCTTCTGCAAGACTGACAATTCCTCATACACAGCATGTTGCAACTGAGGGAACTCTGACTCACTATAATTTTTTGGCTTGAAGTTGGGCGCAGAAAGATTGTATGTCTACTCTAAACCTCAAGATCATGAAGGGGAGTTACCTTCTCATTCATTCGACTAGACTAAGCGAGAGATTGAGTGTGAACAGTTTCCTATCAAACTACTAGTTCAATCAATAATCTTCGTTAGGCTTGGGCTCAGGTTCTCTAAGTAGACAGGTAGGGGCTTGCTTCTCTCCGTAGTCTAACACTTGGTGCGACCGGATGCTAGTGCACTTATCTCACCCAATCTTTCTGGCATCTAGGTGCAAGAAGCAAATATTATGAAATAAAGGTCGGACATACCTTGAAACTTTAGGGCAGATACATTTTTGGATCACTTTTTTTGGGGTTTAATTTGACCTTCTTTCTAATGCTACGGCGCCCAAAGTAAAGTGTGACAAAGAAAGCAATCAAGTGCAGAAGAGCTAACTTAATCAGAGATTCGTATCAAGATAAATAAGGGAAGTCCCTTAGGCGCTGTGATAATCGGCCTAAAGATATGCTCATTATCAACAAAAAGGAAATAGAACAATTAAACAAAATGATTGAAGATATAAAAGAGAAAGGACCCACGTCCTCCACTTTTTGTTCAATTGTGGAGGTGTATTTTTACCCTTAATGATTTTAGATATTTTTTCGTTCCAGCCCACTCATTCCAACGGAATAGTAATTACATGCAGCATAAATTTTGTTGTTTTTTACACCAGCATCACAACCATGTAAACATAGCCAATCGTATTTAAAATTAAATAAACAAATAAATTTATTCTAGCCTCACTCAAGCACACTCATAGTTGTGTGTGCAGTTTACTAGCTATTTATTCATAATGCAACTATAATTCTACAAATTAAGGTCATTCCCAATCAGCATCAAGTCCATGAAGCTGGAGCTGGAGCCGGAGCAGAAGAGAAAATTCCTGCAATTTCCACATGGAAGAAATAAAGTCAAAGATTAGCTAGGGTTTCAATTAAAGATTAAATTATGACGATTGAAAACAAATTGAAGGGCTTAATCATGGAATTAACGGAATGCACTAACCACATCGAAGGAGGTTTTCGGGTGGTGGGCGCTCCTTAGCAGGGTTAGGGTCAGCATCGTAAACTCTCACATAGAGTTCTTGCCCTAAGTACCAATGCTTTAACAGTTGAGATCTCAAGTTCCACATCCCAGGGTTGTCAAGGAATGCATAAACTGCAGTCCATCCTCCAGGGTACACTTGGACTGTTGATCTCACAACAGGATCGTAGAGGTTGTATGTGTCCCGTGAATCCGTCGACCAATCTCCATTCCCAAACCTGCAGATAATTACCATAGATAATGTGGTCCGACTGTTAATCTGATAGACATATTAATAGTCTAAAAACATAACATGTCAGACGTATAAGTTTTTTACTTACCCAACGACATAAAATCCAAAACCATCTAAATGCCAAGAATCCATGGCATCCAAAGTATTCATGAACACAATTTCTATCCACCCTTTGTGGATTCCAGTCACGACGGACACTCCATATGCAGCATCGTCATTGACATAATGAGTCGGAAAAGCATCAAGTTGGTACACACCAGTGCCATTGACATAGTAATCGGCGAGTTTCAACGGGGTTTCTGGTGTTCTATATGACACATTGTTGACAACATAACGTGGTTCGTCACCAAGGTCAGCTACTGAACTTTGGAGGATGAAGGTTTGAGATAGGGTCACATTTGACGCATTGAAGGTTCCTTGTGGGTTAGGCCTAGCAGCTCCTGCAGTCAAGTTCCACCTGATCATGGTGAAGGAACAAATTAAATGGGGACATTAGAATGTGTATGATGAGAATTATTCCAAGCTGATTATATAGCATATACAAGTAGTTTTCCACTGAAATCGTAGAATGCAACATTATCACATAATTTACTAATCGACACTACGTTATAAACATGTATGACAATAAACACAATACCCTAAAGTACAAATCCCTCGCCCACCTATGCAATAACACTTAAATAGGTAACATTGTATAGTTTGTACGAGAATGTTCCAGTACTAAGCAATAATAATTGTTGTTGATGAAGCTTTCTTACCTAATAGATTTGGCTTGATCGACTGAGAAATCTAAATCAAAGGGTCAGGGCCATCAGGCAGAGGCCCACTAACTTGTGAGACTGAATTGGAATAGTGCAAAACCCCAATGCCCACAAGGCTAGTAAATTCAGACGTGTTGACCAACTTGGGAGATGCCACCATGTAATAATCAGCTGCATTTTGGTTAGCTGTGACAAGAACCGAGTATGATTGGCCGACATGCACATCCAGAGAATCCAACGCGATCTGATCAGTGTAGGATCCTTCTGTTTCAACCAGCACCATTTGATGGTTTTGAATCCTGAAATTGAAACTCAAAGCATTCCCCACGTTTGATATTCTCAACCTGTAAGTCATCCCTGCATAACAACTATGACATCATATGAAATATTGCTCACGCTATCATACGTAAATTAAATAGCAGTAACAATTGTTGTTTGTGAGATTTGAATTCAGTAATTGGAATCTGAATTAAAGTACCTTGTGTGACATTGAATGATTCATAGGATTTTGACATGGGGTTACCAAAAGGGCCTTTGCCATTCATCAAAATTATATCAGGGATTCCGTGGTAAGCCACTAGAGGAGTGCCCATTAATGCCCTAGTACTCTATTCGAATTTCATGCCCAAAAAAATTGTGTCAGCCAAAAGAAATGGAGCAAATTGATGTTGTTCATAAACAAAGTATCAAGTAAAAGACCTGGTAACTGTCATAAAACCAATCGCCAATAAGGAGATCAAATTCAGCTTCTGGTCTGGGGAAGGGGACGGCAATGACATTGCGGTTGATGACACGTATAGGTCCGAATCCTCCAGCAGCCTTGTGGAAATTGATGGAAGGGAAGTAGAAGAAACTGCCGATCTGATCCTTGGTCTGGAACACATAAGTCCAGCTTGTACCAGGTTGAATCGGGCAGTTTGTTCCAGAAACTCCATCTTGCCATGAGTTTAACCTTTGCTGTATGCCATTCCTGCACCAGCAACACAATTTTTCTCAAGTTCTCAGACCAACATTTGAACTCTATGCAAAAATTAATTATTTGTTACATACCATGTAAAGAGAAGAGATTCATCCATGTCGTTAAAGATGTTCACATGAACAAAATCATTCGTAGTGGCGTTGATAAGTGGCCCCGGGAACAATCCATTAATCGCGATAACCTGCTTGAAATCAAGGAAATTTAGAACAACCATTATTAGCAAATTGGAACTGCCAAGAACTAACTACTAAAAACTAGTGCTATTCCTTCACTTGTAAGTGATTAGGCCTTAGGTTCAATTCTCGCCAAAGGCAAATTTAAACTATATTATTATGGTTAGCCCAGTGTCAGGCTTAGTTCACTTTCTCACCCCCTTAGTATAGATAATATCGTCTGTTTCAAAGAAAAAAAAAACCTACTAAAAACTAGGTTTTGTTCTTCTTACAGGTTGATCTCGGGTCACAGGCTTGAATGTGGTGTCAAGTGTAACATGCCATTCCAGAAATATGTCAATAGCATTGGCTCTAGCAACAAGAACTACTGCTATCAGAACTGCCCACGCAATCGAGCGGTGGTTAAAGCCGGTACAGGCCATGTTTGAAGGCCTAAATTTGCAAGGCAGGTTCTTGTTTTTCTGCGTTTCTGGTTTTCTTGTGTTTGCAGATAGGCCATGTAAGCTTATACTATATACGTAAGTAACAAGGGAGGGAAAAAACAAGCAGGGAATAGGAAAGGAAACAGCTGGGAATTAGGATCAATCGTTGATATCTAGCACCTAAAGTAATAGAAATAGTAGTACACCATGCAATTTTTTTTTATTTATTTATTTATTTCTGTCAAAAGCACAACAAACATTAGTGACCAAGATAAAGCAAGCCGGCTGGTTAGATGAATTAGTCATGGCCTTGTTTTGATCAACTCTTAGCTAATCTTCATTTCGAAGACGTACATGTCCTCTACCACGTGTATCAATTTCGAGATTATCTTTTTTGGTTCTAATTTTTTCAGAGAGGACTTTGTATTTTGCTTCGTAATTAGGGATTTGATACTCAAAACTAATATATAGTGCTCGAAGCATCAATTTGAGACAGTTTGGTTTAATCAATTAATTAGGGATTTGATACTCAAAACTAATATATAGTGCTAGAAGCATCAATTTTGAGACAGTTGGTTTAATCATTTAATTGTAGTATTAAGAATCGTCTATCTATTTGCTACAATTGTTGACTAAATAATATTAGCTTTATTTTTTTTTTCACAACGATTATTACATAATCATTTATAAGACCGATTTAATCACAAGCACAAAAATCTATAAATCGTCCACTAAAAATTTGAGTAAATTTTTTTATCCATTCTTGAGTTACCAAATATTATTCTTTTATTAATTCAAAGAATCAACTAATCAATAAGTAAAATTGGAGCAATGCCATTTTCTTCCAACAAATTGTTTAGATGGTATGAAAATAATAGGGTCCGTTCTCTTTTCCTCAAATTTAACGTCCTTCTCGTCCACTACCCGAAAGCGGTGCTGCATTGCTTTCACCGCACGCAACCATGCGCACCCTCCTAAAACCACTGCTGGCACAAGATCCACGCTTCGTTTCATTCTATGCACCAATTTTTCAGTCCTTGACTGGCAAGAACTTGCTGAAACTAGGCCAACAAGTCCACGCGCAGATGGCCCTACGTGGGTTCGAACCCGATGCATATCTCGGCGCCAAGATGGTCGCAATGTATGCAAGCTCAGATGATCTCGACTCAGCCGTCGCTATCTTCCACAGAGTAAACAACCATCAACGCTTCTTTATAATTCGATCATTCGGGCGTATACGCTACATGGGTTCTCTGAGGAAACCATGGAAATCTATGGCAGAATGCATTCTTTAGGGCTTAAAGGAGACAACTTTACGTACCCTTTTGTTCTCAAGTGTTGTGCGGAACTGTCGAGGATTTGGATTGGAAAATGTGTTCATGGGTTGAGTTTGAGAGTTGGGTTAGAATCTGATATGTATGTTGGGACTTCTTTGATCAACATGTATGTGAAATGTTGTGATATGAGTGATGCACGTAGGCTGTTCGATAAAATGACTGTGAGAGATGTTTCGTCTTGGAATGCATTGATTGCGGGATACATGAAAGATGGGGAGATTTGTCTTGCTGAGGGTTTGTTTGGGCAAATGCCGGACAGAAATATTGTTTCTTGGACGGCTATGATATCAGGGTACACTCAAAATGGGCTTGCGGAGCAAGCATTGTTTTTGTTTGATGAGATGTTGAAGAAAGATTCGAAGGTTAAGCCGAACTGGGTGACGATAATGAGTGTTCTTCCTGCATGTGCACATTCCGCTGCCCTCGAGCGAGGGAGAAAAATTCACAACTTTGCGAGCAGGATTGGTTTAGAGTCTAATGTTTCCATACAGACAGCACTCCTCGCAATGTATGCTAAATGTGGGAGCCTTTTGGATGCTCATCAGTGTTTCGAAAGAGTACGTCGAACTCAAAATAATGTAGTTGCATGGAATACAATGATAACAGCTTATGCCTCACATGGACGCGGATCAGAAGCTGTTTCCACCTTTGAGGACATGATCGTGGCCGGGGTTCAACCTGATAACATTACATTCACAGGGTTGTTATCAGGATGCAGCCATTCAGGGCTTGTTGATGTTGGCCTAAAATACTTCAATTACATGAAAACAGTATACTCTGTCGAACCCAGGGTTGAACATTATGCTTGTGTTGTTGATCTTCTGGGTCGTGCAGGGCGCTTGGCAGAAGCTAAAGATCTTATAAGTAAAATGCCAATGCAAGCAGGGCCAAGCATTTGGGGTGCAATGTTATCGGCTTGTCGGAAACACCATAACTTGGAAATTGCCGAAATTGCAGCTAGAAATCTATTCATCTTAGAACCAGAAAATAGTGGCAACTATGTCATGCTGTCAAACATATATGCTGAAGCCGGCATGTGGAAGGAAGTGGACAATTTGAGAGTTCTTTTGAAAGCTCAAGGCGTGAAGAAGAACCCTGGATGCAGTTGGACAGAGGTCAATGGGAAAGCTCACTTGTTTCTTGGTGGAGATACATCTCACCCTCAAGCAAAAGAAATTTACGAGTTCTTGCTGGACGAGTTACCAAAGAAAATTAAGGCAGCCGGTTATGTACCTGACACTAGCTTTGTTTTGCATGATGTTAGTGAGGAGGAGAAAGAACATAGCCTGACAACCCACAGTGAAAAGCTTGCCATTGCCTTTGGACTTCTTAATACTAGTCCTGGAGTAGTTCTTCGAGTGACCAAGAACCTTCGAATCTGTGGAGATTGCCACACAGCCACCAAGCTAATATCGAGAATCTACAAACGGGAGATAATTGTAAGAGACTTGAATAGGTTCCATCATTTTAAAGATGGGAACTGTTCCTGTGGAGATTATTGGTGATAAAGGAGTTTAGTTTCGCATTAATCAAAGGTACGACTTGTTCGAAAGATGCAAGGGCACTATTACCATCAACCATGCATATCCAAATCATCAAATTCTCATGCAAGCTTCCCACTTTAACCATGTTGCTAAAGAGAGAGCCAAACCAAAACCCCCGAACAAATCTTTCGAGTGACTGCTACGAGTTGAGAATTTTCGCTCAGCAGCGGACACATTCACGAACCCCTCTTAGAAGCTTGGAAGATTGGAAAGCTCCTCCATAATGTGTCATGGGCTTAACTGAGTAATACGCATGTGAAGAGGACAGGCCGAGTCTAGGATGGTTTGTTTCTTGTTACGTTGGAGGTTCAAGTTTGTCGGAGACTTTGAGTAGACAATTTAACTGAGTTATATTCCAGCTTTGTTTGTGCAAAGCATAAGGCCTTTGGAGGTGAAAAGATGGCTAAAACGTTCTGGCGCTGTAATGCTTTAGCCGCCATTTTGTCTATGAAGATTATTGTAGTGATTAGATAGGGACTTGTGTATAAGTTTTGGTGCTAATTGTGTGGGATTATTTTAGTGAATCCGGTTTCATAAGCAGAATACATTGTCAATCCTCTTCGAAGCTCACAAAAACCACGGTTTGATGGCAGATCGGAAACTAAGATGACGTTATCCGGTGAAGTTGAGTTATATTGTACAGAAAGACAATGTCCGGCGGACTCCGGCCAAGACATTTTGATGAGACTGGTGTTTTAGGGTTTTAGCTGTCTTCTAGGTATACATGTGGCTCCATAGCGGAACTGGTCATTGGCTCTACTCGTTTCTTTCCTACCGAACCAGAGAGCCGAATGTTATGTCAAGAGGACCAACAACGGTGGGAGTAGTAACGAGAATGATTCCGAGATAGAATGGATCTTCCTGAATTCATTCATCACGTTTTTCACACGGACGAAAACAATGAGGGATTTCGTTATCATGAACAATGAATGAAGACATGATTGAAGAAAAATGCTAAAAACTCAAATAAGGATGCAAAATCCCACTTTCCATTTGTACATCGAAGCCGTTATCTGTGCTGTTCATTTTATGTACATCTCATATAATTTACAGACATTTATCGACGCAGAGCGATTTATTTTATTGTTTTTCCAACCAGTACTCTCTAATCTGTATTTCTCTGAAACGCCCTAAACAAATTGACTAAAACTCAAGCAAACTACTAACACCTTCTGCGTAATACTAAGTTCGATGTCCAAACAAATATAGCTAAACCAGAACCTTTTTACTATAACCTTAGTTCTCAAATTGGTAATGGGAGTGATGGCAATGGCTTGACAAAAGCCCTTCGAAGAGTACACAGCCGCCAATTGTCATTACACCGATTCTTGTACCAACGTTCTCTAGCGTTGTCATCAAGAACAGCAATCACCATTGCAAGGAAATCGATCTTCTTGTTTCTGCTTCAAAATGTGTCTCTTCACTTCTACAGATCCACTGTCTAGTAAACTCGGCACCTCCAGCATCTGTCAAAATATTAGGATTGTAACGAAGTTAAATGAAAGCCTATGCCATGGGAGTTAGGGAATTATTGCAGCAAACTCGACAGAAAATCATTTGGCTCGTATGTCTGAAGTCGAAAAAATGCAAGCCTTTCCAAAAGAATATACCTTCAGTGTGAGATCTTTAAAGCATTGTTGAACATTTTCTCTAGTTTTCGCACTGCATTCAAGAAACAAACATTTATGCTCCTGTGCAAGAGCCATGCCCTCTTCTCGAGTTACAGCCCTCTCGTTTTCCTGGAAAGTGTTGAACAATATAGGAATCAGATATCAACAGCAGCTTCGAGAAGCAGGAAAACTCACAGCATCTACTAAATGAAACTCAGAGCGTACACTAAAAGAAAGAAGTTTAAGAAACCACAGCACAAACAAACTTACCCTGTCAACTTTATTCCCTACTAGAATTTTGATACACTCGGTATTAGTGGAGTACGTCTCTACTTCCTTCGCCCAGATATTCAACAAGTTTGTAAAGGTTTCTCGCCGTGTCACGTCATACACTAAGATTGAAATCAAATGGCAAATCAGTCAGATTTTTTTTCTGAAGCAGCTACGTTCGAAGCAACAGAAAGAAAAACAATTGGAATGGGAGAGTCAGAGTCGAAAGGGGATGCGTTATGAACTTCTAAGTCACCTCTATAGTGAAAATATATATATATATATATATATATATATACACACACACACACATACATATATATCAAAGTGCAACGGAATATTATGTTTTCAATGGCCAAGCACCCTTTTCCTTTGCTTCTGATAATTGAAAGCCACTCAAAAAATGCGCAATGTAAGGTTTACATAAACGCAATGACAATGACATACGACATACGTACCAAGAATGATACCATGTGCACCTCTGTAATACGAACTTATTACCGTTCCAAACCTCTCCTGTCCAGCTGCAACACCAAAAGAAGAACACTTGACGAATAAACGAGGAGAATATTTTTTCTTGAAGTCAAGTATAAAATCAACAATTTGCTTAAAAGCCAAGTAAAATCAACGTTTTAGTATTGAAAGAAAACTAATGAGGAGAATATATTTCCTTGTTGAAGTCTCAAGGAAGTTGACAGATTATAGTTAGGTCCACTGAATACCTGTGTCCCAGATTGTAAGCTTCAATCTCTTTCCGCCAACTAAAATCTGCTTGACCTTAAAATCCACACCTTCAAATGGTTGGTAAAGCACATCAGCACCAAAAATAATGACAATCCGAAAATTACAGTCAATCAAGAATTTCACAATTCGCCTCGAAACTTCCACATGAAAATAGCGGAAATTAGTCCGCCGGCGAAGAGCAAGGCATATGCCGGAAACCTAACAATTGTATAGGAATCACAAGGAGTTCTGCTCCGTTTAGGGAAGTGAGTAATTACACTGAAATCGGTATTTACGAGATGCAAGCAAGATAAAAGCTATTATTGTCCCCAACTACAATTGCATGATAACTGTTTGAGGACATGAAAATATAAGCGGATATACATGCAAACTATATTTCTAACCCTAAATACAGAAATTATCTTATGCAAACCGTCGCTTACTTGAATATTTTTCTAGATAATTTACATAAAATTCATCTAAACCGCGAGAAGAGTGATTCAAACTTAGAGGGAGCACACTTCTCGAGCTAACTTGACTTACCTTGACTAACCCCAGGTCTAGATGGTATTTGCAACATAAAGAAACAAAAACTGGGTATTTAAAAAGAGTTAATTAGAACCAAAATAAGCACTTGAACATGTCACTGATTCATGAATTTCAAAAAAAAAAACGATGCAAGAACTAACCAATATCAATTGAAAATCGTAGGAGATAAACTTCAAAAAATTACCAATGGTGGGGGGCAAGTCTTGAACAAAAGTGGAGATGAAGCTCAGGAGAAGGCTGCTCTTTCCAACACCAGAATCACCGGTCAGCAAAATCTTGAACGAGTAATCATAATTGTGGCTCCCTCCTTTTGGTGAAGAACCCTTCATTCTTTGATGCTGGTTTTAACTCAATTTACACTCATCAAATTAATTAAATAACAACAAAAAGCTTTCACTATTTCTCAATTCTTGTTTAGTTATGTGAAGGTGGTTCTGTTTATTTTTGATAAAACACAAGAACGAGAGGAGGAGGAGAGAGAGAGAGAGATGGAAAATGGGAAACTTCCTGAGGTTGGGGGAGACAGGTGGGGTTGGAGGGGAGGAGTGTAGCATACGTGTAAATTGTTCAACGAGATCTGGTTATGTTGTACAAATGGCTGAATCATATATTAATCATTGCACAATAATTTAGACAACAATTTTCTTCGACACAACGATATTTTAATTTAAAAATAATAAAAATTGAGCTAGAATTCAAACTCAACACATATATTAAACATCCTCCTTGTTATTTATAAACTCAAAACTCTTTACTCGTTGTGTAGTGAAAATAAATATAACGTTAAACTATGGTACCACCGATATTAAAACATAAATTAGAATGATTTGCAGTCCTAAAACAGTGTGATTAGTGTAAATGGATTACAGTTTAAGTTAATGTGGTTGGACAAAATTCTTCTTTCCTTGGAACGGCAAATTTGGAGCTTTGTTTGACTCACTCAGCCCTCAGCCCCACGCGCCTTCTCAGCCGGAGTTTTGTTATTTAATAATTTGTCTCGTTGTGAATGAAATGCCCCTAACACTGTCGCAATTTAGTCAAAGTCTTAAACTTTCAACTAATCACTAGCCAATAATGTAACGTTTTTTAGTGACTGTTGAGAATCTTATCCACTCGACGGTCCACTATGGTAAAAAGACGTGATTGCATAAAGAATTGAAGATAGTGGAAACTATATTTACTCTTTTCATATTGGATGCTCAATTATTTCTCTATTTTTTTTCAATCTAGTTTAGCTTGAGTTTAAAAGATCGTGGATCTATTCTAGTCATTTCGATGAATTTTGCGTTTTATTTGTTGTTTGTTATTACTTGGTATTATCATTTAGTAAATATAATGTTGCGTTTCTATCTATGTGTTTTGAATTTGAAATTTCTTCATCTCTTAAATTGATACAATAATTATGAATCATTCCCTTGCTATAATAAAATATCATAATCTATTTTAAAATATCGGTGATGTTCAAACAGACAAAAGATGTAAGCTGATTTAATTCAACAATATTAAATGCAATGTAATAAAATTGAAATCTCGTAATCTATTTTAAAATATTGGTCCTATCTTAAAAGTTGTAAAGTGTAATTCCAATTTTTTTTAACTCATATTGCTTAATACAAATGCAATTAATGTAAGAAGAAAAACAATATTAAAAGAAAACAAAATGAATGGAGTCTTGTATAAACTGGAAACAGTGTTTAACATATTGATATCCGTAAAAATATCAATATGCAAATTTGTAGAAATATTAACGGATATATCGAACATTAATATCTATATCGGTTGTTTTCGATAGAAATGGTAGAATTTAAAATGAAACTTTAGAGATTGTTAAACATTTGTATGGAAGAATATAAAAGTTTATTCGATATTTAACAGATTGTTAGAAATTGACATTATCTGTCGATTTTAGCCTAAATTGAAGAGCTTCTCTAATATGAAATTACGTTTAAAATTCAGCTCCATTTTCATACATTCTCTAGTTTTTTTTTTTTTATTTCTATAAAAATATCGACCGCATCAAATAAATTTTAAACACTTACTTAAAATTCCATATATGGACTGAGTATGCACTTACAAGACTGGTGACTGGTGAGGTAACCTAAAGCAGCAATATTATATATTTTTGGGTGATTTTGTGAAAAATCAATAAAAAGTTATAATATTAACAATAGATCAACAACATTTATGTTAATTATAAATAGGTCAATCATGTATTGTGTTACTTAAATGCATTTAAAATAAACAAAAATTCCAAAATTTGTCACTACAGCTGGCACTCACTTCAACTAACACTCTTTTTCTCATAGTTTTATATTCAGAATAAGTCAATACGGATCAGACATTGCATTGCAATGTCTGTTTCTTGATTTTGTTTTTTACATTTGGATTCAGACGCTGCAATGTAGTGTCTATTTACTGGTTTCGTTTTTTCCATCACTCACATGCCTTCTACATGTTCCTTTGTACATTTGGATTAAACACTGCAATGCAATGTCCGTTTCCTAATTTTGTTTTTCAATTTTGGATTCAAACGCTGCGTTTGAGTATCCGTTTCTTGGCTCTATTTTTTCCATCACTCACACGTCTCCTACACTTCACACCTCATGCAACTCCTGATTTTTACATTTAGATTTAAACACTATAATACAATGTCTATTTCCTAGCTCTGTTTTTTTACATTTGGATTCATACACTCTAATGCAATGTATGTTTCCTGGTTTTATTTATTTATTTTATTTTTACATTTGGATGTCTAGTTGAGTAAACTCATCCATGTAAACAAATGGTGAGAGAGAGTGATAGAATATACATGTTCTAACTATTTATAGGATTCAGATCCTCTCAAGATTAGTTCCATATGAATAGAAATCCAAAGGCCGATACCTCTTCCCCCGCCTCTCTTTCCCCTCAACTTCTCTTTCTTCGTTGCAC